CAGGTGGGAAGTGGGTCCGAGCAGCCAAGAAGGCTGTCAATCTTGGGGTCAGCTATGCCACTGAGTAAAACAGGAACCATCTTTACAAAGCGCAGTTGCTGGTAAGCATCCCGGACACTCAAAATCAGTCAGTTTAGGCCTTCAGCGACTATTCCTCTTACCCCTCAGGCTTCAGAAATTCAATCTGCAGATAACACACTCACGCCACTTCGGTAGTTGCTGCAACTTATGCTCTCTGTGTTGCGAGCCTACTACTACCACACTGTCCATACTGGAGGTCAGGTTACTATATTTTGTAAAGTAGGATCACTGGGTCTTTTTCTTGTAATATCGTTTTTGTTGAATCTGCTGATGAGGTATCCTACTAGTATGGTAAAGTTCTCAGGATAGACTGCGTCGGAAGAGCTCAGAAGAATAGAATTTGCTTAATGAATTTGAAAGCATCTCCAGACCCTCCAATTCCATAGAGGCAATCATTTGATTAAACTTCTTATTCCAGTCCATGTTGAATGGTAGGTAGGCATTTGTAACTAAGAGGTCTAAAAGAAAAAAAGGGCAAGCCAATTCTAGTCGTATTCGCTGATGTATTGTATAAGCTGCACGGTGCTGATCTGCTAGGTCATCTCCATTCATATGATGATTATAGTCATCAACCACAGTGGGAATATAGCAGCTCATACGCTCTTTATTTCCAAAGGCTTTCTGGACAATAGTAGCATTTGTGCTGGTAGTTCATAGTTTTCGGCATTTGGCCAGTGTTACTTTGTGTGGCTTGTGAACTGTCATAAGCATTCTGACAAGATTGTTGTCTATCTATCTCAGGCATAAAACAGGTGGAATGCCTATCACACATCCATTGATCCTATTCCATTCACCAAGTCCCTCATTAGACTTAAAGGCTTGTGGGTACAGTTGTGTCCATAAAGTCTTCATACTCTGGTACTATAATGGTGTTGTCCTCCATCCCCATAACAACTGCCTCTACTATGACCCCCCCCTACATACTCGAAGAGCTAGAGAAGACCAAAATAAGGAAGTTTATGCCCTGTATAAACATACTGATATGGGGTATAATAAAATTTATAAGGTTATGGGTATCTCTAAGGCAACTGTTCAATCAGTAGTCAAAAGAGATGAATCAAGTGATGGAAATACCCATGATGCCCCCAGATCTGGAAGACCAACAACAATTACCACTCAAAAAAGAAAGATAATGGAGTCCATTATCGATGCTGAGCCTTATTTAGCATTACGCGACATTACTAAAAAAGCAAATATTGGTCTGGGAAAGACATCTGTGGATAAGATCATATTAGAAGCTGTTTTTAAGCTTCTGATACCTAGAAAAAACCCTTTTTGGAGGAAAGAACAGAAGGAGAAGAGAAAGGAGTTTGCTAGGAGAAGGAGGAATTGGAGGTGTGCATGGAATTGGGTTGTTTTTGTGGATGAAGCCACCAGTATCTATGATCCAAATCCTACTGGCAGGAAGGTCAGAGTTAGACCTGTTGAAAAGCTGGAAGAAAAACACTTGAAGAATAGCTTTCAGTCTGGGAGGACTAGTATTGGAGTCTATTGTTAGGCGGAGACAACTTGACAGACTTCAAGATTGTCTAGACAATCAAGATTCGTTTTTGTAGACGGAGAATGTCTAGGAAGGCTCAGACTTGACTCGTTTCGTTTATGACTACTAGGAGCAAAGTAAAGTAGGCAAAGTAGGGTAGAATCGTAAAAACAATATTATATTGTTAAGGTCTCTTCTCAGTTGCTTGATGATGTCTAAAGCTTGGGAGGCACTTCGATATTTATATTCCCCGTCTGAGTGTTCGCAGACTACATCTATTTATCATACAACTATGTACTTCTTTAATCGTAATTCACAATGTCAAGTTTTCTTCCAAGGTGCGAACATCTGTGGACCCTGAAAACCATCACACTCTCTTCGGTAATTACGATATTTCTTCTTAGAAAACGTAGTGTCTCTAATAGTAATATCCCGATTAGCAGAGTCTTTAGACTTATGGCTTAGTTCTTAAGTCAAACTGAGTTGGCTCCAATTGTCTTCACCATTGATAAAATGATCAGTTTTATCCTTGGCTATATCTGCAAAGGCGGTCGTCATTACAACCATCGTAGGTCGTCTGACTCCGATTCTTTGTAACTCCCTACCCAACCGATAGATTTTCTCTGGATGACTTCCTATTAACTCGCAGGGAGCTATTCCACCAGATTGGTAATTAATCCCTCAGTCGGCAATCCTTGGTTGCTCTCTGGGTTGTAGGTTTCAGTAACCATTGTAGTATTGAGAATCACCCCATGATTACGACGTGTTCCGAAACCCAGTTGCAACACTCCGTGAAGTTCATTGGCTTCTTTGGTAGTGTGTTTTTTTTGGAGTTCTAGACTCTTCTGGTGTATGTAAATGTATTGGTCCCTGGCAGAGATCCTTTACCATTTGATACCATCTCTTTGTGCAAAATCGTCCTGTTACTTACAGCCTATGTCAAAAATGTCATATCTTTGAAGCCAAGTAAGTCTCTGAATAGTTAACGGAATCACTCCACTCTACTTCTCAGACCTAGCCGAAGATCCCCTCTCATATATCCTGTGAACAGGATCCGGTGGGAAGGATGGCGGCGACGTATATGGTGTTATTCTAATACCTTCAATTCTGTGGTAATATAGTCACAGGACGCAACTGAGATTGATATATATGATGACGCGTGGGCCCCATAAGGGAGCCGGAGGAGGGTGTTGGAGACCAGAGATTCCGATTCCAAGTGGGGTTACCCTACTTAGGGTGGTTCCTAGGTATCGGGTTCTGGTATTCCTAACATCTATGCTGTAATCACGAAGGGTGGCAGGACTGAGTTAATTCTTGTGAGAAAGAGGGAGGAGGAAGAAATGACCAGCAAAAGAGACAGACTTGGCCTCAATTCCCACCAATATGCAACTGAAATCCACCAGCCATACCTCATCTCTTTTATAGAAGGTCTGGATAGACCTTCTGACAACATCTACCTAGCAGCAAACAATGCCTCCTGGCATGGTGGTGAGGAAAACAGAAAATTGCAGTCTGACTGTGGTTATCAAAAATTGCCTTAACCACCCAACTCACCAGATCTCAATCCTATTGACAACACTTGAGCTCTGCTCAAAAGAGTCCTCAGAAATCGATTCTTGAGGTTGGATAGGAGGCCTCACAGTACTGCTGAATTATTTCAGGCAGCAAAGGAGGAATGGGATTTAATTTCCTAAGAGAAGTTGGATGGGTGGACAGATAGGATGCCTGAGAGAATACAGGCTGTACTAGATGCAGATGGTAGTCATACAAAGTGGTAATAATATTTTCTTAAGGCTTATTAGTTCTATTCATATACTTTTCTTAATTGAGTTGTTTGAATTTTTTTTCAATTTTCCATGGAGAGGTGTTGTGGTTGTGTGGTTGCATCACCGGGGTATGAAGACTTTACAGACAAGACTGTACTCAGCACTATTGATTCTCATAGTCCCACAAACACCAATACTCTTTTCTCTAAGGCGACGAAACAGAGAAATGGTCGCAAAGCCATTATCCATATATACAATATAGTCCTATCTGCTAACAGCAAGGCTGTTGTGAAGCTGTAGAACAGCAGAGCTTATTGGTGAGAGGTCTGGTTGTCGAACAAGCTGTGCAAATGACTTCGTATGTAAAGTCAAGAGCTAATCAACAGCATACCTATTCAGATACCCAATTAGCTACTCTCTCTAAAGTAATTTTACTTAGGAACCTATTTGGACAATTTCAATATTCCCAAACATTTAGTCTCATGTACCTACCCACTACTACTGCAGATTGCTAAGACTTTATAGTCAACGGAGATGGGCTTTTTTGGCATCTGTATGGTATGTTGACTCTGGCCAGCAAAAAGTACCATCATCTCATCAATTGAGACATTAGTACCTGGTAGTAGGTAAGCTTGACTCCGAAGCCGCAAATGCATATTAAGTGACTCTTGCTTCTTCCACCACTCAGTTATCTTTGTCTGTTGATTGATAGTTTCCTCAGGCATGGCAATATGCAAATACCGCTTTATTTGCAAGTATCGAGTCTAGCTGAGTACGGGACCTAGAAAGATTTTATGGGTCCAATATTGCTGGCAGTTCAGTAGGCAAGCCACTCCCATCATGAGAGTCATTCCAAGAAACCTCTGTAGCTCTTCCCTACTGGTGCTATGAGACCACTGTCGCTTACTTGGCTGCTTCTTTCCAGCATAAGCATTGGTTGCCTACACCAATTGGTCAATAATCCAATCATCCCAAAACAGAGCAAAATAGGTGAGGGGGGATAATGCTGTTTCATCTGGCACCCAGGAAGTGCTTTGATGCTCATAGTACTCCATGGACCTAAACGTTTCTGATGAAGCTGTAATCAAATTTGATGTAGCCACAAGTGAAAGATCCTCTTCTTTCCTCCTCTTGGTAGATTTTTCAAAATTGGAGTCATGATTCAGAGGCTTTCGAACACCTTTGATTAGTGCCATTATAGCGGATGCAATAGTGGATGTGAAGAGCTGATAGTAGAAATAATTAGTATCATGATCGGACACAGATTTAGAGGCTTGCTCAGTATATGAGAAACATTTGACGTAATGGACCATGTAACTATCTAGCCAAACGGAGTTAAACCTTTCATGCTAATGCATGAGAGAGATTTTGTCAGATCTCATGAAACCAGGAGATAAGACAGATGACATGAAGTAAGCTATGATGGCAGGACAATTGGGCTTCATCATAATGGTAGAAAATATGCATATATAATTATTATATAATAACTAAATGTTTATCAAGGTAGTCCTACACCCCTAACATATAATTATTAATCCTGTCAACTATCAGGCATATCAGATCATCAGGCCACGCTCTTGGCATCTTGTGCATTCGGTATGTTACAAGTACATGTTAGAAATATTCATCCTCTCTTTGCAACCCTGATCCAATAATTGGCAACCCACCAACAAATGACCGACCGCAAAACAACTCCCACACCCGCCGTCACCGGCACGCATGCCCTGTTCACCCTCTGGGCCCGCAAACACGGTATTGAATTCCCAAAACTAATCCCCGCATACCTACCCCCCGCCGGTCTTGGTATCATCTCGACCGACGAAATCGCGGGCCCCGATCCAATCCGCCATGGAAGGACCAACGACACGAGTCTCGGGGAAGTAATCGCTTTCACCCCGAACGCTCTCCTCCTCACCAGGGAGAACATTGAGCGGTTCAGTCCCGGCTGTGGGCTCAGGTCTTTTTTGAGGCAGAAGGTTGATGATGGCGGTTTGAGCTCGCATGCTGTGTTCGCCACTGCGATTGCGCGGGAGATCCGTAGGATTGCCGAGGGTCATGAGAACATGTGGAGGGAGTGGATCGATGTATGGCCGAAGGCGAAGGAGTTTAGAGGGAGTATGCCGTTGATGTGGTCGGCGGAAGAGGGCGATTTGTTGCCACCGAGCACTAAACGTATGCTTTCTCCTCCAAGGTTGATGAAGAGTGGAGGGGCTGCTAATGAATTGGACGTAGGATTGCTGGACGAGCAGCGAGGAAAGTTCAAGAGAGACTTCAAAGCGGTAGTGCAGAAGGGATTCGAATTTACCAAGCAGGAGTTTATGTGGGCTTGGATTATCGGTTTGTGCCTTACTTTTATTGTTCATGGAAAATCACTCGGTATGCTGATTCTCGACTCTTAGTCAATACTCGTACACTGTTTTACAAACCGGCCCACTCCGCTTACAACGACCTCCCCCGGGAGCATTGTATGGCATTGTGTCCTTTTATTGACTACTTCAATCACTCAGACGATGGCGTAAGCCCCCGCTCCTCCTTTGGGGAGGCAGATCATTAGCTAACCTACCACAGTGCAAGGTCCAACTAACACCAACCGGCTTCACCGTGACCCCTACCAAACCCAGCCACCCAGCGAATACCCAGCTCTTCGTAACCTACGGTTCTCACAGCAACGACTTCCTCCTCGTGGAATACGGCTTCAACCTGCCCCTAGAGAAAAATAAATGGGACGAGGTCTCCATTACACCCACCCTCCTCCCCCTCCTATCGGAAGAACACAAGCGTGTGCTATCACGGGAAGGCTTCTTGGGAAACTATGCCTTCGACAAGGAGGCCTTCTGTTTCAGAACCCAGGCCGCGGTGAGGCTGATGCTCATAGAGCACCCGGAAATGGACTCGAATTGGCGGAAAGTGGAGGTGTGGAAGAATTTTCTTGCGGGGAATGACGACGGCGAGAGGGAGAGGTATGCGGTTGAGGAGAAGCTACTGGGCTTGCTGGACTCTTTGGAAGCGGATGGGGAGCGTGCCCTGCTGGAGGCTGATAAACTGCAAAGGCAGAGTATAAGGGATGTGATTAAGATGCGCTGGGAGCAAATACTCGGGATGACCAATGACGTTAGGGCGAACATGGTGGGCGAGACCGGGAAGTGGAGAGGGAGGAGTCATGTTATGTGAGGGACGAGTGAGGGGTTTGGATAACGTGTGATGTCCTTGTTAGGGGAGGACATTGGGTTGGGAGATTCTATATCCAGTGCCATTATTGTTACATTCTGCTTTATTATCGGGTTGCGATAATATCCATAAAACAAATAAAACAAGTAAATAGATAAATAAATAAATACTATAATGTTACCACAATGATATGAAATCTTGGTTTATGTTATAATACCCTCTATCCTATCCGCCCAACCCACCAAACAGCGACCATAGGAAAGGAAGAAAGCCAACGCCCAACAATTGGTCAATACATACACATATATACGCCGCAGACCTATAGACATATTTACAGCAGATAAAGTTTATGCCCGAACCAAACAAAAGGAACCCCCCCCAACTATACAATGGTATAACATGCATACACTCATAGTCAATCCTCCAATCCAACAAACGGAACCTGCGCCGCCACCCTCTCCTGTACAATCTTCCCCTTCCCTTTAACCATATTAACAAGCATATAATTAACGGTACACGCCAACTCCAGATCGCGCGCTCGGTCAAGCACGTACCCGTTAATGTAGTCGATCTCAGTCTGCTTACCATTTCGCACATCCTGGAACATACTAGAGTAATTCCCGGCGGTGAGTCTGGCGACGCGAATGACAAGGTCGTACAGGCGCTCGGGCGAGAGGCGGACGTCGCGGCCGGGGAGGGCGGCGAGTTCGGGGAGTGCACAGAGGACCTGTGAGACTTCCCAGAGGATCAGACGCATGTTCTGGACTATGTAGAAGTTCTCCAGGAGTTCGCCGTTCTTGCAGTTGAAGAGGACGGTGAGTGGGTTTATCACGGCGTTTATGGCGAGTTTCTCGAATTGAGCCGAGAGGAGTTCGGCGATGGAGAGATGGACGGCTTCGAGAGGTTTTGCGGAGAGGAGGGTGGAGAGTAGGTATTCAGAGGATGGCGGTAGGGCGGTTAGTGGTGGGGGCTTGTCCGGGTGTTCGGAGGGGGGTGGAGGAGAGGAGGTGAACCAGGATCTCGCGACTCCCCCCTTTAGGTCCGGGGCTTCTTGGTGGTCGCGCTGGACGTAGCCTAGGGATATTGTGCCCATGCCTTTCTGCATTAGGGCGAATGGACCTTCTGGGTATAACCCATGCGTGGTTATCCCAAGTACGAAATTCGGTCGTGAGGCAGGGTCCGGGAAGATCGCTGCCTTAATCTCCTCCAGCACTCCCATCCCATTTTGCAGTATTAGTATTGTCGAGTCCTTAGTTAGTCTCTCACTAATCGGTCGTAGAGCAGCAATTGTCTGGTGTGCCTTCGTGGTGATAATCAAGTTTGCGATCCTTCTCTGCGGTGGTATCGGAAGTGTCGCTCTGGTATTAGGGTCTACGAGTGCCTCGAAGGGTGTGTTCGCCGCGACGACAGCGCCTGGTGGCGGCGTGAGCTCGGCCTCGTAACCATATGATATGCTAACTCCTTTCAGCGGTCTGTGTAATTCGATCCTGCTGCCGCTATTCCGAAAGTCCTCGAGCTTGGAAAACTTGTGGAAGAGAAGCGTTACTGGCGGAGGATTCGGTAGCGTGCGCAGCGAGTGGGCGACGAGGCTCCCCACATTCCCACTGCCGAGGATGTGGATCCTTCGAGGGATTACCGGTGGGGCAGTGGTAGTGGTGGTGGCAGTGGTAGTATCGTGTGGAGAGGGCGGGGAGGTGTTTCTCGAGTCTTGTGGGCTGGCCCACCACTCTGCTTTCGTAGACATTCGCCTGGCCCGGATGGAGGTGCAAACTAGAAAATGCAGTCTGATTTTCGGAATTGCGGCGAGTATCATGACCGGGCCGGGCGTTTGTGGGAGCAAGAAGCGGGACACTTGAAGGTAGAATTGGCCATAGAGAAAACGATTAATAGATTCTCCATGTATCATCAATCCTGTTGGCTATGAATGGTGGGATTGGGTTGGCGAATAGTGCCCTACCGTCACCTTTACTTCGTGTCCAGGAATGGAGTGAGGTGAGCAGATGGTGGAAACAAAAGGGAGAAAGAAGAAAAATCAAATCATAATTAAGAGTTACGCGTGACATTCTTGGTAACCTACTATGTGAGGTCGTGGATTAGATTGGGCGATTTTGAGTTTGTTGGAGCCTCAGGCTTGGCGTTAGGTCGCTGGGTCCTGTTTCGTTTACACCTCTCTAACCAATCAACCCTCAATTCTGCTGGCAAGCTATCATATCATACTTCTCTCGACCACGAAAGCGAAGGCAGGGAAAAAACAGCCCCCACTTCTTCACTAGCCATGGACTCTTCAACAGCGGTGGAGCTTCTGGATCTTCTAGACGAGCAAATCGATGACCTCAAGCCTGCTATCGAACCCCTCCTCACGGACACTATTTCCGGAGCTGCCATACAACTCCCAGTCGTTGATAAAGCCAAACTCTTCGTTCTCACATCTTATGTTCTAGAATCTCTTTTGTTCTGTAATTCTCCCAAAGCACCCTATTTAAGCAGTCGTACTATGCTAACCTTCTCAAGCCTACCTGAAACTAAACAACACCGACCTCAAGTCCCATGCAATCATGTCCGAGCTTGCGCGCATTCGCAACTACATGACAAAGATTAAGGAAGCCCAGCCAAATATGCATAGGCGCGAAATGACCATCAACAAGGAAGCCGTGGAGAGAATCGTCAACGCTGGATTAGCAGGGAACGACAAGTGGGACGCTGAGAACGCTGACACGAAGGCTAAGGAGCGTGCAGCGGCATTGGCAAAATTTAATGCACTAAGCGAGAAGATCGAAAGGGATACAGCAACATTGTCCAAAAGGCAAAGGCAAAGGCAAAGAAGAGCAAAGCGGAATCAAGAGGCTGCTGCGGCTCAGAGGGAGCTAGATTACGATGAGTCCGGAGAAGTTGTTGCAATCGACGGCGGCGATGAGGTGTTGGAGGACGCCGGGAAGGGGGAGGGGAAGGCAACGGCGGAGAAGGTAGAAGCTAGGGTTAAAGGGATAGAAGCTAAAGCCGAGGACGGAGAAGTCGTGGAGGAGAAACAGGCCGGACCTTCCAAGAGGACTAAACAGTCAAAAAATCGTTCAAAAAAGCGTCGGAAGCTGGCTACAGGGAAAGAATAATCTCTCCCATCGACAATCTCACGATCGGGTAATACAGTGCGGTGGCCATCTTTGCGATATTCCACCTCAGAGATTTTCATTCAACCTTTGCTATTTTTCTTTGCCTTAAAAATATCATAGCTTTCCACTTGGTCTCTCTGACTGTTCGCGATGCTTCAGGTTTTGTATAATATCATAGATAACTTTGGGGCTTTAGGGTGTCTCTTTTTATCATATGATATCATACCATGAAATTTCTATTCTTACCACACCCTTCGTATCCATAACACATCTCCCACAATCCTAATTCCCACCAAATTTGCTTTCCCCCGTATCATATAGGTTTAGGCTTGGAGTCTCCAGCTCCATATCTCAATCACATGACCCCAGAAACCCAATTTCATCTATTTAGTCTTGGCACGCAACACTTTCCGACGCTTCTCCCACCTTCTCTCGCAAACTCCGCCATCTTGCCATCTCGCCATCTTGCCCATCGCTCCCTATTCAGCCTTCACCCAAACGTTCGAACTCACAAACAACCCACCAATACTCGCTTTAATCACCCAACCACAGCAGAGCCAGGGTCGAAGGAAGAATACAAGATGCCTCGCAACCGCCGTCCATCTCGTCCTGCCCCGGCCCCTGCTCGCCGTGCTGCCCCTCCAGTCCAGCAGCCAACTCGCTCGGCTTCTACCGCCTCTGTCCCCGTTCGCACCGCCGCTCCTCCTGTGCCGGCGACCGCTCAAGCCCATCCTCCAGCAACCACTGCGCAGGGCCAATCTCCAGGCTTGTTCGGTCAGGTAATTATCACTCCATCACTCTATCCATCCAACCGATATGTTGTTGATATGTTGTACCAAGGGGTACATTTGCTAACAATTGTTGATTGGGTAGATGGCTTCCACTGCAGCAGGAGTTGCGGTCGGGAGCACCGTTGGGCACATGGTTGGAGCCGGGATCTCTGGAATGGTGAGTTTCCCCTCGTCTTTACCGTTACCGTAACCGGGCGGACCTGCATACTTGATTGACGGAGCCCTTGGCTAACAGTTGGTTTCCCCGGGACGTTGTTAGTTCGGCGGATCGAGTGCCCCTGAACAACCCGCTACTGCTGAGCCCGTCAAGTCCGAGTCTGCTTCCTCCGGTACCTGGGCTTCCGCTCCCTCTTGTGAAGCTGATGCGATGAACTTCACAAAGTGTCTTGATGAGAACCAGGGCAACATGCAGAGTTGCTCGTGGTATCTTGATCAATTGGTACTTCCTCCCCCTTTCCGCATGCACCCTTCATCCGGCTTTGGGACTAACCCGGATTTATATCCAACAAAATTTTCTCGAGTGGGGTGGTACTGTAACTGACTATATGTGCAAAACTACAGAAAGCATGCCAAAACATGGCCAAGAACTATTGAGTTCAATTGCACTTTCTTTCTTTCGACCAAATATTTTTCCTTTCTCTTGTAAAGAAAGCTTTCCCGGATAGCTTTTTATTAGAGTTGGAATGAACGTCATACCACTCATCCAATCTGTATTGGTAAATCTTTGCAGTTAGAAATTGTAACAAAAGTATCTTCACTCACGAATCGAGATGCCCATCGGTCAGGAGTTTATAATTTTTTTCATTAGTTGGATGCCTCTCCAATCATTCAACTCCCCCCCCTCCCTTCGCCTCTACCGTAATCTACCTATCTACCGTACCCAACATCCATCGCGCTAGCCTCCCAACAAACAAACCTCCACCGATTCCTTTTCCTATCCCTTTCTCGAGCTTCTGCTCGTTTGGGATGCTGGGACGGAGTTAAATCTTCCCCGCGCACGAGATTTGCGCAATCTCCGCCCCTTATTTTCTGGCTGGAGAATTGCATCGAGATCATGCCCCTCATCATAGGTTATGAATTGTTTCTAGGATCGCACTCAGGCCCCCCTCCCCGCTCAACCCCCCCCCCACCCCCGCGCGCGCTCCTCCCATCTCTCGGCTCGCTCAGTTGAGATTTAGCCAGGCCGGACATGATGGACGATGGAAGTGATGATGTTGATGACCAGAGAAGAGGAAGAGAAGAGAAGAGGGGCCCCAGTGGGGGGAACAAAGGGGTGGAGGGGGGGTGAAAGGAGCGACGCATTGCCACGTCAGCGATGTGAGTGCAGCATGAGAAAGGGAGCGAACGAACGAACATTTTTTTCGCGGTACGACCGAGAGGCAGCCAGAGCTGCCCTCTCAGCGAATGAGAGGCCAGAGTCTGAAAAACAGTCTCGCCCTTCCCACGTTAGCAACTGTGCTCTCAAGCCCATCAATCGGAGAGGAAGGACTTGAGGTGCAAGTTCTCTACTCAAGCAGAGAGACTGAGCCAGCATTAGGCCCGAAGACGCAGTGCGGTGCAATCCTCACGGACGTCGGTCACTCACTAAATTTATTGTTTGGACCGCACACTACAGTACTGTGCACAATAGTACAAGTAAACTCGATGACTACCGGTATTAGGCACGAGGAATGCACACACTTACTCGAGTACTCGTACATGTCCGCAGCCCCCACACAAGACGTCCGCGATAAAAAAATTGCGGGCAATTTCTCCGTCGTCGTCATAGCGCAACACAGGCCTCTTCCGAGTCTTTCTCTCATGCTTCTCACTCTTTCCTCAATTGCCTTCTTTTCCCCTCCTTGGGTTTAACTTATTAGTCGCTCCGAGGCCCGGCGAACTTGTGACCCGCCATGCTGCGATCGCCCTTCACCTGTTTCTGCAAGATATAGCAACAACTTCTGCACTACATGGCCCCCTCCGCGAGCAGACATTGTGGGCGTCCTTGCATGCTTCTCACCTTCTGCTACCTCTTGGTCCAATGATTTAACACATGTCACCTGCTGTGCTTGGCCCCGTGCGGACTGTTCCTGGAGCATGACTGACTCTCTCCTCGTGAGTTGACTGTCCGAACTAAATTTACGAGTAACGGACAGGAGAACATACTTAGTGGAAGCAATGGCAAGGTCTTGAGAGCGTGTACCGGATTGAACCGGGCTATTTCATTGGAACGAGGCATTTCAGCTTATTATGCAGTCAAGGAATGGGATAATACTAATATATATTCATTGCTGGCACTGAAGGGGGTTGGGAACTGTTGTTGGCTATGCGAACGGAGTGACTTCATGCCCTCTCCGGCAGTACAGGTACTGTAGTTCCCCTAGAGACGAGTGATGGTTAGAGAACCAAGCATGCTGCCACGCCCACTATCGGGTGCCTCCATTGCTAGAGGCGGGTAGTAATTGTCTGTCATTCGCCCTCACCCCTAGTGTCCATAACACCACACCCAGGCATATTTTGGCCAACCTAACGTGAGATACCGCGATGCATGTCCCCAATATGAACAAAGGTGAGGATCATACATGCTTGGCTCTCACAAGGCGAGAGCATTGAGGTGTCATGGCTGCTGCAAGCATCGATTCAAGAAATAAATCAGATTAAAAAAAAAATCCAGACTAAAAAAAAAGCCGATGCTGCACGCTTTCCGTTGTTTCAATCATGGACCGAAAGCTTGGAATTATTAACGGAAGGGTGGGGACAGGACAGACAGGGTGAGGAATAGGGCTCTGATCTCACTCCAGTGCTGCCAGCGAGGACTACTTATGCGCTGGCATGAATCCTGTGTTCCTGCTTGAGTTCAATCCCATCGCCTTCTCTTTCGCTGTTGCAGACAAGTACCCTCTGCTCCATTCCACTTGTTTGGCTTCGTACAATGTCCGAGAAAATCGATGTCGAATCGTCTGTGAGTCGTTCCTTGGGCCTCTGCCATCCAGTATTCTTTTTTTTATGATCATGTGACCATACGGGGGGCTTATCTGATGGTGGTCTGATTCCCTGAATAGTCCCTGCTGCTGGATACGAGTAGAGATGTTGAAACCGATATTTGGGCACTTGGCATAACAGAGTAAGCTGCTTTCATTTCTCCACCGGCCTTTGTCGAACGGACTTCCAGAATATCCACAGAACATAGGCTGACCTGCCGCTGGAAGGAAGTCAATCTCAGCCGAGGTTGTTGGGAATCCATACAATCCTGGAGATCTCGATAGGTATGCGTCGAATCGAACAGATATATCCTCGAGCACATCCGTATTCCACCTCTCGCTAATGCTACGCGGGTGAAGATAGGGTTGGTCCTGGCAAGGATGCACAGCCGAACGATATCCCGAAGGAGCAATTTGATTTCATCCATATACGATACAAGAGCACCGGGGTGACGGATAGCCCGCGAATGTTCCGTTTGGCATATGAGTATGTGTCAATTTTCCGAAATATTGTCCCTCAAATTTCCATGAGTTCTCACTCACAGCTTGCCCTTGGTGCTTCCAGACAAACAAAACCCGGAGGCTGGATCGAAGTCGTTGAGAATCCTCCCTCGTCTTATACGACCTGTTCACCCCTGGATGATGGCACACAATGGAAAGGAGGGGCGGTCCCAACCAGCTGGGCCGTCAAAGATTTTACAACATCTAAGATGGCGTTCTGGATCAAACAGCAACTGATAGAGGCTGGGTTTGTTGAAGTGGAGGAGAAAGTATGGAGGGCACCAACTGGCCCTTGGCAGAAGATTGTTGGAATCGGGAGGTTAATCTACTCTCTTCTTAGCTTGAGTTGGAGCAATAGTAGGGTCAGTGAGATGGTAAATCCAGGGGAGACATACTCAGTCTCTCGTGGGCCAACGTAAGTTTGGTGCTCTCCTTCATGTTTCCTGCGTACTAAATGATATCCGTGTTGACAATCCCCTTTCCAGTGTATTCGTTATCGCGAGGAAACCCTGAATTAGCGATCGGAAGTGTTGGTTGTTTTTTGATGGTTAGAGGGAAGGGAAAAAAGTATTGAATTCGGGAATGTTCAAGAGGGATCCAGTTACCTATTGTTTTCTCCTTCTCTCTTTTCTTTTTATTTACTATCGCACGGTATTAGCTTTTTGCAGGATTCGGAAGCTCAACTTCCTCCCTATTATTTAATGAAATGTTACGAAATAACGTTTAGCGAATGTTTACGATCTCTATTCAGCATTTCTTGGGGTCCTCTCTGTTCATCCTCTTATTGCCAAAATTAAAATAAATATATATCTAAATATATTTTCAAAACCCGTCCTTCCCTGCTCCCTTCTATTTATTTCCTTTCTCACATCTGTCTACGGTAACGGTACAGTACCACCTGCAATGTGCCGTCTAGAAAGTCCAGTCAGGAGACCGCCGGGAGCCCGGGCCCGGGGGATAGCCTCAAAGGAAAGAAAGAGCAAAAAGGAAAAGAAAAAGAAAGGATCCCAGAAACATTTTCTTCAAACCGGCGAAAGCCGGATGTGGTGGGCTAGGTTTCTCTTCTTGCGCTGCGGGGCAATATGGTAGTCTATTGAAGACCTTTCCCCCAACTTTTCCTACACTACACACCACATCGAGAATTTGGAAAACGCGGCTCCACCTTTGTCTCAGGTCTTTTCCATCTACGATATCGGTACTTTATCTTAGGATGCGGTCGAACGAAGACTGGAAAATCGCCGTCAAGGCAAAGATAGATGAAGTCTTGGCCAATGCAACAGCCGCAGAATACCCTCCGCCAGCGTCTCTACCGGCCACTATTGATCACACACTATTGAAGCCCGATGCAACCCCAGCCCAAATCAATACATTGTGCGATGAAGCCATCAAATATGGGTTCAAAGTATAAAGCACCATCCTTTCTTTTTTCGCCCCTGTTGGAAAAGTGGGAGGGGGTTGAATGTTTTGGACGTCGCTGTCTTCTATCGTATATATATACAAGGTATAGCTGACGATAATATTATAGTCGTGTTGTGTTAATGGATCCTATATCCCTCAGGTTGCCGAAAGGCTACAAGGGACTCGGGCAATTCCGTGCGTAGTAGTGGGCTTCCCGCTGGGTGCGATGAAGCCAAGCGCCAAAGCATTGTGAGTTCTTTCTCCGAAGCCGTATCAAGCAAATAGATGAGTGAACGGCACCTCAAAATAAAAGAGGGCACGAACGGTAATAAGTTCCCCTCTGAGATCTCCAGTGAAGCGCAGGAAGCCGTACGAGATGGTGCGAAGGAAGTGGACATGGTTCTACATATTGGTCACTTGAAATCCCAAGACTACGTCTGTCTGCACGCAGATGTAGAAGCCGTCGTTAGAGCGTGTTCACCGATCCCCGTTAAGGTTATCCTCGAGACAGTATTTCTCACCGATGAAGAGAAGATCGCCGCTTCGTTTGTCGCCGCTGAGGCCGGCGCCGCGTTTGTCAAGACATGCACTGGATTCGCCGGGGGTGCGGCCTCGCCAGGAGATGTTGCTCTCATGAAGAGGACTGTTTCATACAAAGATGGGGCTGTACGAGTTAAGGCGTCTGCTGGAGTCCGGACCTACGAGAAGTGCCTTGAAGTTATCAAGGCTGGTGCTGATAGGGTTGGAACGTAAGTTTGATATCTGCGAGAAAACGCTCAACGAATGATCGTGTTGATATGTTGATATCTTATCCCTTGGATTTAGGTCCTCCGGAGTAGCTATAATGAAGAAATCCGATCTGGTGCCAGGATCTCACTAGGGGTTTCCCGATTCCTTATAGGGATCAATTGATCCTTACTTCTGGCACCCTGTGTAAACCAAATGGTAATATAAGATATGATGGATCGCAACTGTGGCGGAGTGAAGGTACTGTATCAGGGGGAAGGTACCACCTGATGGGCTGAGAGTGATTCCTGATATATGAGTAGGGGAACCGGGAGCAAATAAATAGCGTGTTGAGATTTAAGAGGCAAACTTGAGTGGTATTCCACGGATTAGAACGGATTGTGAATTTGCACCTGTTCACTAGAGCGAAACCCCATGCCAATCCATGCCAACTACTTGTGATAACTTTTTTTTCCTCTTCATAACTCGCCTTCTAGTCAATTCAGCAACATTCATCGTGTCCTTCCCTCTAGAAATGTGTCTACCCGCTCCCCTCTATCTCATGTTATCAGAGATAGACTACCACCATGTCCCCCTCATATGCCCCTCGTAGCAATGGTCCGGAAGAATGTGTGTGCCCCCCTTCCTCCTCAACCCATCGGGTGTTCCCCTCGGCATAGAAAGGAAGGTACTTTTCGCCTATAACTTCCGTTGGTCATTTCTTTAGATGGGTTCAGTATTGTTTTTCCTTTTCCCCCTCACCCCCCCCCCCTTTTTTTTTTCACGGTCTCTCTTTTTTCCTTTCCCCCACTTTACACCCTTTTTTCTTCCCTCAGGGACACCATGGCATTCTGCCGATGCCTGCTTGATCGATCATACGGTATGTGTGGGAGGTGATGAAATACCGGTACCGAACACGGATTATCGTTGTCCCTTCCGGATAAAGGTTTCTGCGACCGGCATGCTTAAATATGGGGAGCACGGAATTATGATCCATGATATAGTTCTATTTTCAGGTTGCGGACCCTCTACTCCCACTCTCTTCTTTCTCAGTTGCCCGAGTCATTGCCGATGACCCTGATAACTGTAATGCATGAGTATATGTGGTTGCTAAAAGGCATGCTCTCTCCTTTTTTTTTTTTTTTTTTTTTTTTACTAGGTAATACCTTGAAAGATGTACTGTACGAGAGTACTGTACTCGTATGGTACGTGGCAGATACACTGCGGTAATCCATCCCAATCAATGCCGGGGGTTTTAACGGAAGAGGACACAATTTCCTTTTGTATTTCTTATAATAATTATTAATTGAAGATTTTCCCCTCCCACCGGCCGAGAGATTCCCATATATGAAGTCTTGTACGAAACTCCACTTTAACTCCCATACCTCGCAAATACCGGTATGTCGGTGGTTTCCAAGCAAAAGGTCTACAAGTACTTGCCATAGAACAGCCCAAAAGAGCCAAAACAATAATAATCCATATCCCATGTCTTTGATTTGTAGTTCCGGTAGTTTTTTTCCTTTTTTTCCTTTTTTTTTTTTGACCGCTTGGCTTGCATGAGACGGGAGGCCTTCCTATTTATCGGGCTTGGCCCATACCGGTACTCCAATACCGGACCCAATTAGGTCTAGTTGAGCGGGAAGTCACGCAAGGCTGGATAAACCAAAATCCTTCCCCCCGGTAGCTGGCCTGTGGTTGATGGGGATGCTCGGTGCAGCAGGCAGCCAAGATGCTGGGGATGGCACTGGGGGGCTAAGTATATTACAGTGGAAGTATGGTACAGTACAATTTCAGTAACCACTCGGTAGATGTTTTGGACTTGACTTAGCAGAGGCTTGAAAAGGGTTGGAAGACTCGATACCTCACCACTGTGAGTAAACTTATCAATTATACAATATATAAATTAAAAAATGAGAAAATGGAAAAGTGTAGTAAAGGAAGGTGAACGGAAAGACTACGAACACTCATTATCGTATGGGTACAGGAACTCGTATGATGCTGCGCTCTGGTTAATGCGGGCTACGAACAGAGAGCCGTGGGGGGGGTGAGTGAGGGAAGTCAAAGCCAATGCTCTGTATGTACCTCCTGCCCGGCGACTGGGCTTGCGGCGGGTAGAACAGTCCAACGAGTTGCGGAAAACGCTTGATCGCTAATACAAGACCACCAATATGAACCCATCTGGCTTGTGAAGGAGGGGTGAAAAGGATGATCTCGACAAGGGGATGATGGGAAGCACTATGTGAGTGAGCTGGACTTTATCCACAACTAATAAATAAAAACACACGACTGTGCAAAGGTTGTGTGTCTGGATAGCTAACAATGGAGCTACTAATCATAATTGGAATATTGTACCTTTGTGGAGTCAGCGACATGATTATTATTATTGCACTGTGGCAGTTTTAACGTCTTACTGTATGGTAGGGTCTCGCCAGGGTTTTTTTGATGCGGAGGGAGGATTAAACCGACGATCTCTTATTTTTCTTCTTCTTCTTCTTTAGCTCCCCCTTTCATTTTTTTCTTTCCTCCTACTTTTCTTCCTAAAACCCCAATCCATAGGCAGCATCATCTATCGGGGAGCCTACCCGAGAAGTAGCAGCGGCCGCCAAATCCGATAACATCTCGTACCCGGTACGAAGGGCGACAAGTAAGTCTTCAATTTAAATTATCCTAACTATACCAAATCTGGTCACAATCTGTCCAGCTGCCTCTAATTGGCTCCAGGGCATTCTTAACCATTCAGAGAACCGTATTTTCTCCAGCCACTGCGCCAAGAGCTCGACAGACCTCTTTCCCTCATCAAAGATTGGCGTGCCTGGCCTATTTTTCAGTTGCATAATTCGAGTTGCACACAAATAATTTCGATCAGCCAGACCAGACAGACTTTCGCACACCCTAAACACATAAAGTTACCGATGGATCAGAAAAGTGGGATCTTTTTTGTCAACTTCTATCATCGGGTCCTGAGGGACTTCCATCGATCTCCGATCCTCCAATCATGAACTCTCACTTTTCCTATCAAAAACCAAATTCCTTAAGAATTAAATATCATTTTGTGAATAGTTTCTCGCTTAAGAGTACATGCATGTGATATCACATTATCTTGGGTCGGGAGAGTTCTCTCTTGCCTATGATTCTGATCCATTCCCATCCCTTCAAGCCACATATAATAAAAATTCTGGGCGAAGGAGGCACGGGTCTGATTGAAAAGAGAGAATAAAATAAGTGGGATATGATGGGACGAAAACAAACAGAAAACAAAAATCCGTATTTCAGAGTAAAAGGGTAGCTGCTTACATACATCTCGTGACTGATCCCCTGCCCTGTGAATTCCCGAGGGACGTGGAAGATAGCAAGTTGGATGGGGGGGGGGGGGCTGTGGGAGTACCGGTATTTCGTTGAGCGAGTGAGAACGAATGTGGGTTGGTGGAGAGGGCACATTTTGCTTTGATGAGATCCTTGTACAGTACCGGTAGTCCTCTTCTCACTCCAAAATATCCACTTCATTGATGGTCCTACTGCACTTGCTGTGGGTACCCAGGATGTAAATCTGCCGCTGAAATCCCCTCCGTGTTCTTGGTTTTCCCTTTTCCTTTCCCCTTCCTTTCCCCTTCCACCTTCCTTCCCTCTAAGAACTCTCTTTTTTTAAAAGAAAATACTGCTCCCTCTTCCCTTCCGCGATTTATTTTATTAGGGGGAAAAAGGAGGAAATCACCGCAAATTCACCTACCCGCTCTCAAGCAAACGCTGGGTTTTTCCTAGGGTGCTGGATAAGACAGAGGAAGAAGGCCGGGGGGATAATGACAAACAAGCCCGAGGGTCGTAACAGGGTGCATCTTGGCAGTGCCCCGACACATGATATTTGAGGCTCAACATTTCACCCCCACAAACCACAAACCCTTTAATCCATCACCTCCCCCGCTATAGCTCGCCGGAAGGAGAGCCCTCTCTCCTAGCTCCTGATAGCCCTCTTCACTCTTTTCCATAAGTAAAACTACGGGCTATATACACCAAGCACACAACTACCTCTCTTCCAGCTGCGCTACATCTCCTTCATCTCATCGACTCGCAGAGCTCATCTCACCGAACCTACCCCCCCCCCCATTTTCGTCCCATCACCGCACTGCTACCAAAATCAGTTCATTATGGAAGGCTCTTCCGACATAAATGGAGTCAATGACTTTGACGAACTAGATACATGGAGACAACAAGTCGAGCTCCGAGATATTAAAGCCCAACAACAATTGACGAAACAACATTATGGCTCACCAACAGGCTCGCCAACACACACACCCCCTGCAGCCGAAGATGTAAAAGCAAGTTTGGCTGTCCTGGAAATGGCTCCAACTTCCGATTTCGCAGAGATGGAAAAACTATCCAGAGACTACCAGCCGGATCTTCAGGTTTGCCTTCTTGTTTTAGTTTGGGTGGGCTTGGATTGATTATTTTAGGGTCCACTTGTTGGAGCAGTAAAGTCTAGCAAGGCTTTGGAGGTGGAGTATGCTGGCGCTGATCCAGCCTTTGTGAGAAAGACAGTGGTATGTTTGCTCTTACCCTCTCATTAATTTTGCTGACCCAATAGGCACTTTCCCCTAAATACCCATTTTATCGCACCATACTTGGGGATGGTAACTGTGGATGGAGAGGTATGCGCCTGCATTTCCCGGAGCTGCTCCAACTGCTCGCATCACCTGCTAACATCTTCGCAGCTGTTGCCTTTGGATTCTTCGAGCTTCTTTTAAAAACCGGGGATACAAACCACGTTGGGATGCAGTATGCTCGTATTGCGTCTTTAAACGGTCTCATGGAACTTGCCGGTCTCCAGCCTTACATCTACGAGGATTTTGCAGATGTCACATTTGAGCTGCTTTCTGCTATTAACTCTTCACCAACGATTGATACCCCGTGGGACGTTTCCATGATTGCAGAACGCTTCAATAACCCTGAGGTTTCGAATGCCATTATTACTCATTTTAAGGTCGGAATTTCGATCTCACAATACTGGTTGGGCATGGACTAACAGATGTGTTCAGTTCCTTACAAGCTCTTGGATGAAGACCCGCCCGGAGTATTATCAGCCGTTTTTGGACCGGCCGGTTAAGGACTTTTGTGAAGCTCAGATCGAACCCTACGGTATTGAGATCGAGCATGTTGGGCTTATGGCTCTGATTGATTGTATGGTCCTTCCTGCTGCGTTTGCGGTTGAAGTGTTTTACCTTGACCGTAGCGCTGGCGATGAGGTTAATGTGCATCGCTTTGCCGACCTGGGGGCTGATGGCGGTATTCCAACACCTCCTGATGCACCAGTTCTGAGGCTTCTTTATAGACCGTAAGTGCATTATTACCATGTAGGGATGTTAAGTTCATCTAACATGAGTAGTGGCCATTACGACATCATCTACAAGAAGGGAGATATCCCAGAAGCATCACCCCCGTCGATTCAGGTCTCGTTTCTCTCAAGTTTGCCCGAGCAGACATTTGCTCCTACACCCTTAGGAAGTATATTCCATCAAATACCTTCCTCCAACATGGACCCCTTCTCTACGGAGCCTGGCCCATCCAACTTCCGTCCCTCCATGTTCAACTTACCAGCTTTTCAGCCTTCTCCCCTCCAGTCTCTGCCATTCCAAACAACCACGTTCCGTAATTCGCCCTTTAACCCATCTCACTTCCAGAGTGAGCATTTCCAACCGGAAATTTATCAGCCCCCTACACCTACCTCACTTGGTGGATCTAAACGCAGTTCTTCTGCTGAGAAGTCTTCTGGAGGGAGTTTGAATGAATGGGATAACGGACAGTATCCGAAAGATGAGCACCCACCTTATTCTTGATTGTATCCATAGTGATGGTTGCATTGGGGGATCTCTGCAACAGTAAATAGATGACGGATGGTTTTCTCTTTCTTCATTCTTATTTCCGTTAAATTTACCTCTATCCTCCTTTTTCTGTGTTTTCTTCCAGATGCTTTGTTCCTTGTCTGCCATTACCCTTGTTCCTTTTTGCTTCTATTCTGATTCAACCAGCGGGCAGGCGTAATCGTTGTTTTTTCTTTTGCGATTTCTAGTGTAACGAGGACCGGTTCTAGGTATTATTTGTCTGCGATAGTTAAATGAGCATTTTCCCCCCATCTGATTTGCCAAGAATGACGTAGGATCTGCGGCAAGGATAGCTCATCCCTCTGCGAGGACTACTCGTACGAGTACAATGCGCAGCTGGGCTGTTCGAGTGCTTCGGACGTGCGAGTGATGGACCTGTTTCGTCATTGGGCTAACTTATATATACCTACTGTGCCTACTGAACCAACAGCCTATCTAACCGCTGCTATCACCATTAACAATGTCTGCAGCAAGACGTGAGTGCTCCCTACTCAACTTGTCTGATTTTGATTTTTTCCCCCGTATGCATAATTGTTACTCAGCGATTGTCGAGTGCTAAGGCTGGCTCCGGTCGTTGGTTGTGTCGGTATTACAGGCATAGGATTCACCATCCCTTCGCTGTTCCTCCTTTCGGGAACTATAGTCCTACTATTCCTACTACTACTAGCAGGAACGTATGACAGAAAACCGCTGAATCAGATATTCTTTCTACAAGCGGACACCCGCGACATACCCAATGCACCAGACAGCCTCTGTCATTGGACGCTCTACAATGTACCTTCCCTCCCCTTGCCTCCTGGCCCCTCCCATCCATTAGACACCTTCCAAATAAAGAAAGAAAAAAATGAATGAATACATGAAGGTGTCTAAGCTAAGCTAATAAATAGTACTGCGACTCCCGCGACGGGAGAAACTATGATTGCCGCCCCAATAGCGCTGCATACCCATTCTTACCCCAGCGGAACTTCGGCACGGAGACGAACATCCCGAGAGACTTTATTCGTAGCCCCGGGCGGTACTTCTACCTGAGTAGGTTTCTATACGCCTTCTATGTTATTGACTTATTCTTCGCGCTATTAGCGCTCTTTGCAGCGCTTCTAGCCACCTGTTTTCGACCGGCGGGGTACTTGGCTGCCGCGGCGTCTGTGTTTGGACTCTTTTGTATGAGCTTTTCGGCGGCGATAATGACGTTTGTTTTTCCCTGGGTTCCTCCCTGACTTTGGTCCCTTGGTGATTAATAATGGAGAGGCAGAGCATGTTATGTCCTTGGACAGAGAGCCTTCAGAGATGATGGGAGGTTTGCGCGGGTTGGTGTTAAGGTATCCATACTCCCCCAATTTTCCACCATCTATAATAACCAAATATATATATCAAGGCATTCGCTTTCACATGGACCTGTGTCGCCCTCTTCTTTCTCTCAGGGTTAATGCTAGCTCTCGGCCTGCTGAAAAAACGCCGGAACACGGACAGAACATACCCTTCCAGAACCCGTTATTCGGGATTAGCGTCTCGAATGCGCGGTCCACCACGCTCCCCCATTGGCAACGGATACATGGAGAAGGGGTACGTCAATGGAGTCGGTGGCGGGGATGGGAATGAGCCAAGCTCTTACGAGCGTATAGATCGGAGCGGTACTGGACTGGGCAGTAGAGGGGCTGGCGGAGATTCGAGTAGTCAGAGGAGGCTTAATACTGAGTATCAACTAAATGTCCCGTCCACGGTTGTTAGGTAGGCAGTTGGGTGTTCAGATAGGTGGGGGGTGAACCTCCAGCAAGTTTATCTCCTTCTCTGTTGCCTGTGGACAAAAGAGGAGGTGACAAAATTGTAGGACGTTGGTTTCATAGAGTATGGTAGTTTGAGTGTCACTGGGATGGGAGTGTATATCAATGAGACATGATATTGTGTTTGGGAAATCTGTTTGTCGGGTTATGATAGCTGGCGTATCATGATGGTCACATTTTTATCGCTGGTCCTGTTCGACTGGGATATTTGGGGAGGAGGCATCATGGGATCATTGGCAACCACGGCCGGCCAAAGTCCGACCCAATGACCGGTTCTCTCTCCCATGTTCCGACGATGCCGATACCGACAGTACGATACCACTCTCAGCGCCAGGAATACTTCCTTATATACCACCTTCATTCTTACAATTACTGCTACCGCAGCCACTACCACCCATACACATGCGCGTTACATTCTTAATCTGTCAACACATGGACAACACAGCTAGGTATATTCCAAAACTGCCACACTATCGCGCTTTGTAAATGTAGTTGGATGACCGGCAGCTAGTAGAGTATCAAGTAAATTTCTCATACTCGGCAAGGTCGGCTAGTACTGGAGTAATGCCACGGTTTGGTTTGGCCTGGTCCGGTATTGCTAGTGATTGTATGGTAAATTTACTGCACAATGTACGAGTACACTCTGTTCACCGATTTGCTTGCTAAATCCTGAGGAACTGGTAACAGCTCGGTCACTCCTTCTGTAGAAGAAAAAGGGGGGGGGGGAGGGGGTGATTTCCACATGTGGGAATTGCTACCCTCCATCCTGTATTAAAACTGAAAAGATACTCTACCCGAGCACTCTTATCCCTTCTTCTTTCCCTGCCTTTACACAGGATTGTGGCATGAGCCGGTGACCGGCTTGAGTGAAGCTGGGCCTTATCTATTATTATCATTATTATTATTATCATCATCGATTGCGGGCCTTTTATGGATTACCGGTAGATTGAGGTGACTTATAGGTTAAGTCGCTTGAGGGAGACCAAGCCTGGGAGCATCCCAGCCGACTCTTACGACCCACCAGGGCCCATAGCACTGGACTGTACTCGTACAGTTCTCAAGTACCGTCGATCGTCAAGACCCAAAGTCTGAGTCCAAATCTGTTTCGCATCTTCCCCCCTCAGTTAGGAATACTACCGTTACGCGATATCCTGCAGGCGGACAGACGGTATATATTTCCCCTTTTCCTATCCTCTGATATCAAGTTATTTATTATATTCCTGAGCGATGGTATAATGATATTATGAAGGGCGGAGCTATACCTCGTTAGAACTTCCGAGGTCCATCCCATTCGCTTCTGTTTCAGTCAGGTCAGTGGGCTGTTGGGGTTCCCGGGAAAAGATAAATACTTTGGTGCAGAGACTTTGACCACCACTCATCGCCCCCATATGATACTATGGGCATTGAATACTGGGGTAAGATATAACCTTCAGCTATTAACTTGCCCAATGCCCCCCACATACCTATTCATCTATCATATATCATACGTTTCTGCAATGGATGGGGGCTCCAGGCAGGGCATTTGGATGGATACATACATATGATACAGTATGATACCTAGTGCTGCAGCTTCTTCGATTCCAATCTTAGATCAAGGAAGACATGGCTAGCTAGCGGTACACTATATACGCTAACCGGGGGGTTGACCGCACAGCTGGTACGGGATCTACCTATCTGCCGGTATATCTGCCTACAAGGAACTCGCACTTCATACCCAGAACTAAAGAAAAGCAACCACGGCGACATACACCGGACCAAAGAGGGGGTGAACAAAAGAGCCACTCCTCGGCCCCTACTAATTACCTCCTGTCGGCTTCCGAAAGATATGCTTCGTTTCACCTCTCCGCCTCGATGCTTCTGCTGTCCTCGCCAGGGCTCGGTTTCCGGGGAGCGGGCGAGAGAAGCAGGGGGGGCACGGTGTGGGGATATTACCTGATTGAAATCTCCTAATCGTGGTCATTGGCCGACATCGTCTTCCCCCCAATTTTTTCCTCTCTTTACTTTTCTTTTGGGCTGATTAAGGTAAACTAGGTGAGTTTAAATTAAATCACATAATATGTTCTCGATAATGAGTGAAAATTTCATTATCCCCGCTCCCCCGCCTAGATAGACACATTCATACACTCACGGGCCAGGGCAATTGGAAACCCAAGCGGATGATTGGGCTTTAGAGCGATTGATTGATTGATGTGACCAGCCTGGCTTGCGGTCTGGAAATCCCGAACCAACACCAACAGGACGCACACTGGAAATAGTACTGTGCCCTGCCATGCCAGACAATGAGAATAATAATAAAAATAATAAAAATAATAAAAGGGGCTCGAGTAATAGCAAGCTATGATAACCTGTTTCGCTTTCAGAAAAGGCATCCCTCAAGAGGACCCTTCCTATCCTCAATTCAAGCTCTAGTATGTACGAGATTATTTCTTGTCCGGGGCATAATTCTTCCTGGGTGCTTCATTTGTGCTTATAGCTTATGAACGTAACTAGGCGGGATAAACAGCTCCGCCCACCTGGTGGAAACTGAAAAGGGAAAGGAAGAGAGAACCCCCCTATAGTGATATTGCAATAGTTGTCGGTAGGCTCGGGATGCGTCGGGTATCAAATCAGAACGGCAGCGTTGGTTGGACCACCCATGGTTCGAGTGATTTTCCATGATTACGCCGCGGCCACTAGGAAACTTGCATGATACCATGGGGGTACTCACACGGGGGGAGAGAAAGGGAGAGGGTTCCAAGCTTGAAATTAAGTTTAAAGAAGGTGAAACTGTGGCTTTCGCACCCCGCACTCCCTCCTCGATCCCTTGGCTACCATAATGCATGAGTGACAGGGCATGATCTCTCCCAGTCAATTCCCCTGCAGAAGCGCACTTCTTCTATCCCCCTCGCATAATTTCATTCAGTCGTGCAAGTCTCGTAGCGTCAGGGCTCTAATCCGGGGTACAGCGCAGCACAGCACGGCACAGCACAATACTGGAGGTGCCATGACAGGTTCGAGAGAAGCACCTCGTCCCACTCACTCACTCACTCGGGAGAACCTTGGACCAATTTAGACTACTCGTTTGCAGAGCGTATGTCACTTTCTTCTCTTCAAAATGATCCCCTCTGCACAGTAGGTCAGTAGCAACAGCCTCTAAACCTCGCAGGGGAGGAAATGCTGAAGGAAGACCAACTATATCGATAAATGGTCCGATTCGAAATCTGCTCCTTTTTCCATTCCAACCACACCCCGCCCGAATGGTTATTGCGATTGGATATAAAATTCGCATTCCTGGTATTATCGATGAACTTGCGCATCAAGTCACCCGCCCACCATATGGGAAGTTGCAGGTGAGAAAGCTGTCGTGAGTAGGGAGTGTGTATGCGTAGAGAGGGTGTAATGCCCGCTTTATGGAAATATACTACGCAGATAATATTCGCTGGTGCTGACAGGTTCCATCCTCGCAAACAATACCGACTTATTCAAGCCGGATTAGACAGTGAAGGCCTCGTTGTAGGTATATATACTCGCTCACAATGTAATTAGCAGACCCGTCAAACATCGACACCGGACAAGAGGAAGGGCATGTATATGCTACTTTGGATGGGTGACAAGTGTGGGGGTATAGCACGCGTTGAAATAAATTTCTCAATCAAAGAGATTGGGTAATTAGGAGAGTGGTATTTCGGGGAGCCAACTTATAGAAGATATCCACAGGACAACAACCTGCCAGGTTTCTTCAAAATATTGGTTATTGTCATACCAATCATAAGGTATGTAAGGACGATTTCATGTTAGCAGGCACAAAAAAAGAGTAAAGTAAATTTATACAATCATGACATGTTAATTGAAAGATAATAAACACAAAAGTTCCTGGAGTTTCAAATCCATTGTGTATGGACTATGATATAAGTGAAAAACAATATAAGAGAGGTGAAAGAAATATGATAGTAACTATGCCAAAGTATCAAGCTTTAATTAGTTATATTATAACATTGTGAAACTATTATAGTTAAGGAAAAAAACTGAGTTTGAGATATGATATCAAATTCTAGAAATATATTTTTACTTAATTATTTAAGGATTTGTATACTGAATTACTGGAAATATTCTAGGAACTTTAAAAAAGCTATATAGCTACTGTATAGACAAAAGTCTTCTGAATAAAGGTACAGTTGTTTGGGTACCTTAGTCAGACATGCCATACCTTACAAGAAGTACTTAGGT